CTCAACTGTCTATGCTTTGTGATAGCATAAGGACAGAAGGATGACATGAAGCAATTGTTGAGGAGCCTTTCTGATAGCGGAGTGCCTGTCTAATGCTGCAAGCACTTGAATATGCACATACCTTCATCTGTATTCTGTGAGGGACGTGAGCATGTGTTTCAGATGATTTGCTGCTGTATGTATACTGATGCAGACTGCTGTGTTTACAGTTCAAAGAGCAGGAGGAAACTAGATCTGTATGACCATGTGGAATCTCAAATGATGTAGCATATTGTCGTATGTACTATTTGCTTAAGGGGCTGTTGGGAAGTTTTTCTTAAAAAATTTTCTGACCTCTGTCCTTTTTATCTAGCTTTCTGAGCTCCTGTGCTGTGTGTTTCATTGAGGTTATACACTGGAATGACACGGGATGCAAGAATTATATCTATTACTTCTTAATTCTAAATGGTATTGAACCCTCTGGCCTTTGCCAGCTGAAAAAAAAAGGACCAGTTGCAATGAAGTCATTTGGGACAATGTGGATGTTCACAGTTAAGGAGTTGAAGTGCCTTTTGGAATTGGAGCGTCTGTGCTCAGAAGAGGGCAGGATCAAGGTCTTAGGAAGCACTGTTAGTATCTTAGAAGATCTGGAAAAACTTTCCAATGTTGTGTGCTGCTTTATTTCACACAAGTTGCAGAAATAACTCCTGCCTTTTGTGCCCTCTTACTGTATATAGTCTGGTATGAAATACCTGATTGTTTTTGATGTCTCAGCCACTTCCATGGTTGATGTACTCTGTCCAGTTGACTCATCACTGTGTATGTTTTCTTGACTTATAATTAAAATCTGTTCTAGTCTAATATTAGACCAATGCTCCTTGTTATATCACCCTTCATTCTTAAGTAATTCGTCCTGCAACCTCCTTACTCTGTATGACTAATGTCTTTTTCTCAAATATTCTTAGAACATTTTAAAATACCATCTATATTATAAGCAGCACAGTAGCGATACCTCTCATTACAATTGCTTAACACTTTCTGTCATAACTCAGTGCTTTCTTTTGCTTAGGATTTTGACAAGACTTTAACCTTTTTGGCTGGAATTTTCCATGCATTGATGTTTGCTTCAGCCTGAAATTTCCACTTGAGACTGGATTTTTTTTGTTTGCTTGTTTTTTTTTGTTTATTTGCTGAAAGTATAATCCGTATTTCATGGAGAAGACACTTCTAAATTGGCTTCTGTTAGGTTCTCTCATAGAAAAGACAGATTTAATTTTTTTTTTTAAAAGGATTTGTAGGCAGATGTGTTCAGCTGAAAATTAGGAATGCTGAGCATGGGAAGGGGAATGCTCACCAAACAGGAGTAAGACTAGGAAGTGAATTTCTGCCGATTAGAAAAGAGAACTGAGTTGATGAGCACTGAGAAGGAACTGGTTGTTTACCTGACCTTTGGGCATTCAAGAAGTTCTTCCTAAAAGCAAAAAGTTAATTTATCTGGCTTTAATTTTTTAATTGATGTTCTCCACCATGTTTGCTTACCAATAACCACCTGAAACTTTTTTCCCTTATAATGGCAAAAAGGAAAAAGTTAATTATAGTTATTTCTGTTTGTAAACAGAAACAGTTTATGTTCTCCTAAAGGCTCTCATTGGTTTTGCATGTGTAAGTAATTCTGTGCTTGCTTGTCCAGTGAAAGAAAATAGAATCAGTGGATGTAAAGTGTTTTGTTGTAGCTAAACATTATTGCTGTCTGGTTTTAATCCTTCAAATATGCTTGTATTCTTCAGTTCCACTGAATTTACTGGAATAATTTGCAATAATAGAAATGAGTGTACTTCAAAGCCTTTGTAAGGCTGAGTAAAACCACTGGGATCAGTTTCCAGTTCTATTACTTCCATTTCAACTTGGTGTTACTGTTGAAATTTCAACATGGGGCCTCAAAAATTGATCTGATAACAGAATTGCAGAGTGGAACTTAAGGAGACTGATACCCACAGTGTAGTAGAAAAAAAGACCAAACTTATATAGACTCTGGCATGTGAAAGAAGACACTAGATGGTGGAGAGAGGGGATTTTTCCAGTCATTGATCACTGGACATTAATAAAGACTCAGTAAGCAGCTGATGGGAATTACAATTAGGCAAATTAACCCTGTTGCAAAGAGGACTGGTTTCTGAAAAGTAGAAATAGTTAAACATGAAGGCAGCAGCTTGAGGCAGATGATGGACTTGCTATCCATTAGTTCATCAGGGAGAATTATGTTTGCAGTTTAGTTTGGCTTCAGAGTAGGTGGTCATGACATTTTGCTCTGATCTTGCAGTCCGGGAGGCTGTAGACCACTGCACTTTCCTCCACCTTCCACGGAATTGCTTGCTCTGCACAGAACTTACTCCAGCTGCTCATCAAGATGGTGATTGTGTCAGTTGCTCCCTGGTTTCTCCTGGTTACTGGCAGGGTGGGAAAATTATTTTCTTGGTGAGTAACCAGTCAGGTGTGTGTTGGGATTTTAGACTGCCTTCTTCTGAATCCAGACACCAGCTGCAGACATGACTTGAGACAAGGTGGAGCAGCACCCTGCTGTGATGATGGAAGGGATCATTTTTGTTATATGGGTGGCTGGTATTTCTTTTTCGTGTCTGGGTCCAGACAGAGCACCGGATTTGGTTGGGGAAAGAAAAGAATCCCTCTCCTCCCTCCTCCAGCCAAAGTCAGACTTGAGAGGAACCTCTGCTGCCCTTGTGTACAGGCTAGAGCTATAGACTGCATATGAGGATCTGGGTCTGTATTATCAAATACACTGCTTGCCTTTCCAGAGCTCTTGCAGGTTGCTGGTGTCTTTGCCTGTGGCACTTGATGCTTTTGGTTTCTGAGAGTTGAAGTGATTTAGTTGAACTATGGTCCTTGGGATCAATACAGCAATGTCTGGGTAGTGCTTGAGAGCCTGTGGTATATTAATGATCTAACTAGATGTTACAAAAATTCTTTCTGGCTTTGAATTTCATAAAACTCAGCCTCAGTTCCTGTAGTTGATGGAAAATAGAGCAGCTTGCCTGTCCTTTTCCAGTCCATCGTTAGGGTTCTGGATAGATACAGTAACCAGGTCTGATGTAAAAGCCTAAAACTTAGTCCACATATAAATTTGTTGCACAACATGCTGATATAGGAGACTTCCTGCAACAGTTTTGTAGCTGCAAATTTTTTTAGCAGAAATCTAGATGAGTTTCAAATTAAATATATTACCTCAAGAACAAGCATGTCTCTTAAACTGCAAACTCTTTTCCTAATCTCTGTAAGGTATACTAGTAGTTCTCTTAATGAAACTTGTTTTAAAGCTTTAAGCTGAAAAATGAAGCTACCTTATTGAAAGGCCTCACTCCTATCAAAATATGTAACTGGTTTCAACTTTTCGCTGAACTGCTAGGAAGCTCCAAAGGGAGAAAATATTTGTGCCCTTGAGAGAGAAGGACAACTAATTTTATCACTTAATTATTTCAGAGGAAGCATTATCAGTGCACTGAGAGAACACATCTGAAAAACTGTTGCAAAAGTTGGAGTAAAAGATAACACTACTAGTAGATTTCCAAGGAAAATACATATCTGCTGAAATATATGAAGTTAGAGCTTTCCAGTTTAGTTAGTTAGTTAGTTATCAGCTTAAACTCCACAAACTAGCAGTGCCCACCTCTGTCCCCTTCAATACAGTTTATCAGCATCCAAAGGAAAAGAGAGGTATTCAGGTTTCTGAAAGTTTGTGTTATGGCATGCGTTAAGAAAACCCTCAATTGACATTCTTGGGTGATGTGACCAGTATCCCCTGCTTCTAATGCCTCTGTAGCATATGTCTGTACTGACTGACGGGGAGAAGTGTGTGTGTTGAAGCTGACTTGCTTGTGTTTTCCTCAAATCCACATCATTTGGCTTATGACTTGAGTTCAATTCTGGAAAGGAGTTTGAGGCTTGGCTGAAGTGTCTACGTAACTCAAGGTCATTGCAGGCTTCCTTCTGGGCTGGAATGTGGGATGTGGGTTGCTGCTTCTACTGTTTATGCTGTGTGTATATAACTTTTTTTTTTTATTGGAAAAATTGAAAGGGACAGCTTTTCATGACTTACCTGCAGAGATCTATTTACTTCATTAAGAAAATAAAGCTATCTCATAATTGTGGTTTGGTTTGGGTGGTTTTGGTTTCGTTTTTGATGTGTGTTGGTTTTTGTTGGTGGGGTTTTTTTTGGTTTGGTTTGGTTTTGTTTGTGTGTTTGGTGTTTGATTTTTTTTAAATATTAGAAAACAAAGGTAAAAAGAACTTCTTTATGGATGCTATCTACATTAGGGAATGGACATTTGGTTGTCAGTCCCACAGCAGTGAACCTGGTATAATATGTGGAGAGGAGGGTAATCCATATAATACTTATTTCATTTAAAGTTATCTTTTCCTTGGCCAATATGTATTCCTCTGAAAACAAACCAGTGCATTTCCAATGCTTAATGACAGCTGTGGTGGTGTTCCTGGCTAGCCAGTTGCTGTCCTGAGGGCTGTTACTCTGTTAACAGAAGCTGTGACAGAAGGTAACTTCTATTAGGCAAACATAAACTGTATGTTAAATACAGGGCATGTGATGGATGTCTCTATGGCAAAGGCTGGGAATAGAGAAGAATCTTTTATATTTCAGAATAAGCTGGTTTGTGTGTGCTTCTGTTAAGCTAAAAATATGTAATTTGTATAACCAAAGTGCATATAATATATGTAGAATGCGCAGCTTTACTGACATGGTTTCATTTATAACCCAAGCCATCCTATAGATGTTATTCTGCTAGAGAACAAGTTAATGAACTTTGAGTAACTGCATAATATGTCTTTAGCTAGTTTTAATTTTTTTTTTCTGCTCCCAGAAGTGAGTTTTCACTAGGTTTTTGAAGCTTTAGACAAGATGCATTAAGAAGTGTTGTTCTAGTTTTGAATTGGTATCGAGATGTTCCAGGAACCTAGTCAAGAAGTAATCTTAAAATGTGTTTTCTGTTTAGAAACTGGCAAGGTATTCACCTGGGGCAGAGCAGACTATGGGCAACTTGGAAGGCCCGCAGTGGTTCCCGATGGGCAGGAGGCGTGCACAGCATCTGAACAACACTTGGAGCTGTTGTGTAACATTCCTATTTCAGTGCCTTGCCTAAATGGAGCATCTCAGGTAAAGAAGAAAATTACCATTTTTTTTCCCAGGTTTTTTTGTTTGTTTGTTTTTGGTGCATTAAAGTAATCCAAACAATTTGCTAATAGAATCATTTTGAATGCACAAGCCCTTGCTGCTCTTCCTGTAAGCTCAGAAGTTAATACAATTCAATTATTTCAAATTTCTTTAAAGGCTTTTGCATTCAGAAACTGATTTTTCCTTGGTGAAACCAGAGTTACCATTAGCAGAAGATGCCAAGTTCTCTCCAATATAATCAATGTGTGGAGGAGACAGTTGGACCTCCAGTACAACTCAGCAGATCAGCTGGGACCCTGCCTGGTTGCAGTGCTACTTTTCTCTGAAGCCCTCTGTAACAGTTTATCCCATGGCCTTTCTCTAGCTGATAAACAGTAATGCCGCAGCTTCTAGTATGTTTCTGTACCTTCTAACATCCTTCAGTGATATTGGAGGCTGTCTTTTCATGTGGCTAATTTGATACAAAATGATTTATCCTCAAGCATAAAGATGATCAGAAAGAAGACTTTACTCAAGTTGTTTGCTGTAGTCTGACACAACATGCAGCCTGTACTGCCTACAAACCATTTTCTTGGCTTTTTTGTGTCTGAGAGGCAGCATGTGGCAATTGTCCTGTTGGCAGGCAATGTGCAGGTCCCATCTGGGCAGATAACCAGTGAAATGGTATGTGTCTTCCTGTGGGGTAGTTGGCAGTCAAAATGCAAGGGGTAAGTACAAGTTGACAGCTTCAGCTGCAATGTATGTACTGCATCTCCACCTCTTGGTAGTCTTCCATGGTGAGACCTTGGTTAGAAGAGTCAGCCTCTGCCCTTTCCCATCACCAGTGTTCTGTGAATGTGTGCGCTCACAGACGTGAAGCGGAGCTTCAGAGCCCAGGGTGCTGCGGTAATGAATAATCTGTTTAGTCAGTGTTGACTCCACTGAGTCTCCAACAGCTTTCTTACTAATTCTGAAATGGGTGTCCCTGCCTATGTCACTAGATATCTGTAGAGAACACTATTGTTGAATGTGTTTCATGCTGTTGTTCATTTGTGCTTTGGGCAAGACCTTGAGAAGGTAGTTCTGTTGTTTCTCATACAATACAAAGCCAAGGGAGCCGTAGCTTCTGCACAGGGGAACTTAAGCTTGGCAGGACAAGTCAGCCATGAAGGTGAAGGAAAGGGATGCATTTAGATGTATTCCTTGAAAATGAAGTAAAAACCAATCTAATCTTCATTCTGCTGCCCTCAGTGCTCTTCCTCCTTTTAGACCTATGAGAGACCTGATTTGAGTGATTAGCAAGAGCAGTGTTCTGGAGCAGGCATCATTCTTTTCAGTGCTAACAGCATGAAGATGATTTAAGAAGAGTGTGATCAAGAGCTAGCATCATTTGCATCCTAAGAGCAGCTGTGTTGATTAGAAAAGGAAAAAGCAGATAAGAGCCTAAATTGTTTCACTTCATGATTACAAAATAATGCCAGAGCTAGAATTTATACTTAAAATTGCATTAAATTGCAGTATGTAGGTTATGTGGAATGTGAGCTGGTTTTGGTTTACACACAAGCTATCCCTTTTTCCATTTGTTGTTGTACGGAGATGAGGTTTGATTTGAGAGCTGAATTAAAAGGAATACAGAGAAGATGAGTTATTTTCCATGTTTACCTTGAATTAACAATGTCAATATGCATGTTTAATGTAGAGAGCCAGTTCAACAGTAGGGGATTTCAACTAATTATTTTATCCATGGTTTATTTTTATAAATAACTTTTAATGATTCCACTGAATTTTTAGCAAAGTTGTGGTCTGCTAATTGCTTCTGCACTTAAGTTAATATTGGAGAAAAAATGGAGAAACTAATCTAAGAATTAGAGGATAGTATAAAAGGCACACTAGTTTAGTGAAGGACAAAGCAGTAGATTTAATCTCCTGTGCCTCTCCTTCTCTCCATGGTGACGGCTTACCTGCTTTCTCCACCAAAGACCAGGGATTCTCCTTTCTTTGTGCTGAAATTAGTATAATGTCTGTGTCTGTGTACCACTCCAAAACGGGATTTTTGAAGTGTTGCGATTGATCTGTTCCATTGTGAATTTGACTTCATCTGACAAACTCATTGGGAAGCATTGGCATTGAGAATTATGAGCACTTTTTTCTTTTAATTGAAACAACAGAAGAACAAAGCCTGAGTTTTAGATAACTATGTACTAATCATGTATGTCTTCCTGGCAGCTTTAAGGGAATGTGTAGACATCAGATTCTTGAAGTCTTATGTGTTTTAACTTTTTGAATTACATGACTGCAGGTCTATTTATTATTTTCTTCTCAGTGCTTTGGTGCATAACCACCGTGGAATAGGATGGGGCACTGAAAATAAACTTGAGGCTGTAGCAGAAGTCAGTTGTGCAAGACATTATGTATGCAGTGCTCTTGTGTTGTGAGGCGTCCTTGATTGGACCTCTTCAGAACATCTGACTCATCTGCTGCCTGATGTGCATTCATATCCACTGCTCTTCAGATGAAAGGACAATTAAATACAAATGGCCTGAAATATGATGAGCCTCTGTATTTAGCAAATGCTACAAAGACCTGGCTTAATGTTTTCTCCTTGTCAAAATACTTTTCTAGGCCATTTGATATTTTTGGTTTTAATAGCTGTCGTTTTACTGTTTGTGGTATGTTCAGCATGTCATTCACACTGCAGCAAACATTTGTTGCAGCCGTAAGCAAGTGAGAAGACGTTGTGCAGTGTGGAATGTTTCTTGCTAAATTGAATGAAGGAAGGGTTACAGTCATTTTGAATATGCAGCACTGTTCACATGGAGCCATGTTTTTATCATATCCTTTCTCTAATTAAAACAAGCTATGCTAGATTACAGTTTTCTGAGGAGGGAGATCTGAAACTTCAGTTAAGAAATTAAAAAATATTCCATGTCATGCTGTCACTTCTGAGTATGTGTTTTCTTGGGCTTAATTGACTCCTCAGTTTGACCATCACCCAACTTAAATCTTGATCGTGGATGAAAGGGCCAGTTGTGTCAGGGAATGAAAATAACCAGTGGACTTGTGGCAGCCAGTACTTGCTATGTTTATCCTTGTCCTACTGTGGTCCATAATTCCAGTGTGTGCACTTGTCCCAGGGTGTGTATGTTTGTCCCATGCAATACAGATTGTTTTGGATCCTCTGTATGATTCCTTTCTTCTGGGAATGCCATCATGAATACACACACTCTCATGGTCCTTTGCAGTCAAAGTTTATTGCCAGTCTTTTCAGTGGCAGATGCAGTAATGTGTCATTTTTGTTTAAGTATTTGAAAGATAGCTTTGTTTCTAGTACACTCTTGGTTTTTCCCCCTTTTTTTTTTCTCCATTCATGTTGCAAGATGTTAAGACAATGATAATTGCTTGATTATTATATGACTCATAGGTTAACGTAGAGGCATTGTTATTGCCTTAACAGATAGACACAATAATATTGAAAATGGAATCTTTTGTTTTACAAAAAATGACAACTGTTTTATAATTTCTGACTTCAGGGGGAGCATTATTAGAGGCCTCTGTAAGTAAAGCTGTAGTTGAGACTTTAAGGGGTATTAAAAGAAATAAGCTGGTAGTGTTATGTATACATCGTTTCTGTGCTGTGTGCATGGCTTTTGTATACTTAGTTGTTTGACTGGGTACTGTCAATATTTGTGGCTATGTTCTTTATTCTGAATGGTCAAAATGAGATTTATATTTTTGTTGGAGAGAAACAACAAATTGAACTTTCCTAAACCAGGTTTTATGCTCAGTTTGAGAACGTATGTGTAGTAACTGATCCAGTAAGTTGCTTAAAGAAACCACTTTGGTTGTTAGGGAAGGAGATAAATGCAAAAAAGTCTCTCTAGTTTTCCAAGCTCAATAACTTTCAGGTAATTCAAGGGTATAGTTCAGTAGAAGTGGTGGTGTGAAGAACAAAGTTTCGATAAACTCTGTTCCTTGTTCCTCAATTTGCCAGCTTGCCTCAAAACTCCTGTGTCACAGAAAGACATGTGGGCCCTGGAAAAATTCATAGTAAGAGGTGGTTCTTACTTTGCAATACTTACAGCTAATAATAAAAACAAGCAGGGGATGGGAGTAGAGAAATGACATGACTGCAGGTGCTACAGCAAGTCAGCTGGAAAGCTGAGAAGAGAACCTAGGTACTACAAATTTAACTCCGCATTCCACATTACTCATTAAGCTTTGTCCCTTGTCATATCAACAGAAGGGAAAGTTAGTTGCTATCTGCATGCTCCAGACAGGTCAGATTGCTACCTGTGTTATATTCCAGTTAGTGTATGTTGCCTTCCTTGACTGTTGTTTAATGCTGTTAAATCTATCCATCTAGTGATTCTTTCTGAGGAGAGACACCCATAGAAGGAGAGGTAAAGATCAGCTCATCTTTTACTGAGGGGTTTGTGATGTCCTTCTGGACCAATTAATTGAATTGTCCTCATTCTCAAGTTAAAATGATGTGGAGTTTCTCACTTGCTAAGCAAGTAGTCCAGTGTTTTGTTGGTTTTTTTGGTCATGAATTGTTATCTTTTACAAGTTGGTCTTGATCTATATCCTTTGAGAAATGGCATTGTTGAATTTTCCTTGCTTGGTGCCGGTTGGATTTGTTATGCTGTTTTAGAGACACAATGATAAAAATTGCAATGTGGGCTCCTTTAATATTCCTACAAGAGTGGAAATCAAGTTCTTGGCTTATCAGCTCATTTTAAGTGACAAAAAAAGGAAAATAAAGGTCATGGAAAAGTGGGTTCTGACTACGACTCACTGTGCAAATGAGAAGTTGGAATCAAGAGTTAAAATAGAGACCAAATTATTGAAATTATCATTAGGAGGGGGGAAGAACCAAACAGGATGTTCAAAAGAATGAAACTGCAGTCTACATACAAAATAGAAAGTCTGTGTTAGATTAGCTGTGTTTGTGTGATCTGCATGCCCTGTGTAGGAGAATAATAGTAATCTTGGCGACGCTGCAA